ATATCGATTCTCCATTATAACATTACCCTTGCCTTCGACTTCAGTCGCGAACATTGAAAGTAGGCTGAGTCTCAACTGGACACTGGGGTGTAAGCCAAACCCACTAGATTAAGTTAACACTAACCAAATAGAGTCGAGGTAACCAATATGAGTGCTCTAATAGTTCTATGAAATACTCACGAACCGACTAGCATCACAGATTAAAGATACTGCGAGCTGTACGCCACAGACACAACGGTGACAGAATAGGGACGGTCCGGCACAGGTGGCTCTGATGGAGCTCAACATACACATGAGAATTGGCGCAAGGCTCTCGAGAAGATAGTATCTACAACTTTTCCTACACCTAATGACCGAGCCTGAAGGTTGGCGGTGCTCCATTTGACGACAAATGAGTCATCCAGAGTGACTTGTCGCAGACTTGTCTGAAGTCCAGTAAAGCTGGTGCTAGTTAATGAAGCAAGCAAACGCATGATGTGATGGCCAGAGCAAACGCATTGGGTATTACCCGGGATATCCTTGGTGAGCCGGACTCTAAAGGCCCTGAGCGCCTCAGACTGTGAGTCACTGTCTGTGACGATACCTGATCTTATCAGAGGCCGGTCCCTACTACGATCATAATGCTCGTAGTAGGAGCACTTTGCCGAGCATCATGAATGCCCGGAGCATTGATGAGTCCACTTTAGAGCTGGAGGCCTCCACGACTCCCTCGTGCATGCCTCAAACTGGAGTGAAGGGTTCAGGCTGAGAGTTCCCAATTGAGAAGCTAATTCCAGTTGAACAACCTGTGGACCTGAAAATCTCAAATCGATGCGATGCTCTCCAACGAAGGGCATTCATCGACAATGATGCGCATTGTCTAATCTCAGCTATCGCAAGATGTGTCCCATGGACACTGTCTACCACCGAATCATCTTCAACTAGAACTACGCATCAGCCACTTTCCTCACACGTGCATAATCAGTACTGCACCGGTGACAATCGTCGACGGAATACTTTCAGGGATGATTTCAATGATAGCTTCTTACCATACCACGTGTTCAAGGGTTTTCTATGTGTTCATTTACCCCCATTCGTGATCACAACCAGCCATTTACCTGAATTCATTCTACGGGGCGGTTTATCTCAACCATCACGGTTGAACATGATGCCGAGCATGGTGCTTGGAGCATCACGTGACGGGCACCGTCGTACAGTGTACTGTGATCATACGTTGTACATGGAGATTCTGAGTCGATCATTGTCAATTAATGCGCCCAATTCACAAATTCACAGGTTGCCCCCCCCCTGAACTGCTATCACTGTTCTCATTCGCGACAGTCGATTCGACTGTCAATCCTCCCCAGTCTAAGGGCCTTGGATGATATAATTAGATTACTCACGCTCACTAAGATTGCCTGTGGTGAACCCAACATCGTTTTCTTCGTTATGACTAGTATCCATGTCGGACAGATAGTGACGGAATGTGCCGACAATTGATGTCTAGGTAAGAACCTCTGAAATAAAGTACTCGAAAGTTTCGAGTCGAAACATAACCAGCTTTCAAATACTAACTCCATAAATGTTACAGATCAATAAAAAAATTGTATACCGGATGCGCCACGCACTGAGTGACACGCACTCAACTCGTAGTCTACGGACCTCGGAGTTAGCCTCTAGCCGATTCTTAAAAAATCCGCTAATTTGGGTATGCGAAAGAGAAAGTCGACTGGATGAACCAACTATACATTTGGATAAATGATAAACAAAGGCAAGAGTTATCATCAGACGCTCGACATCAGAGCTGGAATTGAGACATATCAACAACAGAGACCAAAAGTCAAGACACAAATGCGAACTTTCGCATAGTTCTACCTACAGAGTGTACCACACTGATAATCAGAACGATATGATCATCCTGTCTAGATACAATAACACTCTCCGGTATGGCTACATTGACAATTATAGGGACACATCTCACACTGCCTCTTAACGTTGAGCTTACGGCCAACAGGTAAGGCATCTTGAGAACCACTGTCAGTCAAACCGAAAGCAGCCAGGATGATTGAAGCGAGGAGCAGGGAGGCGAAACGCATGGATGTTAGGTGGAAAACCTATCAAGAGCAGTAAGAGTTCGCCGTCGAGTTGAACACAGGAGGTGCTAGACACGTGACAATTGAGCAAATCCGGTGACTTCTGTAGCGCAGAGCTGGACAGGGTGGCCTATTATACGAGTGCATAGACTCGTAGTGATGGCGTCACGATTGCCCACGAAATGCATACTAAGGAGTCCCTAATAGGGATACTATTCGGTGCGAGACTCGCACTGCGAGTCGTTCCGCACGACTGTCGCCCGCACGTGGTTCGAAAATACGTGAGGGCGACGTGAGTCTATGAAGTTTGTGATAGGAGGATCTGCCCACTCCTGTTGGCCAGCCTGTTAGCTGCATTGTATCGATTGCTCGCTATATGTAAATCGACTCCGTTCGGCCATTGTCAGCTACTTTTTTGTTGTCGTCCGCCTGTGCGGCCCTGCCTGTGCGGAATAGTCAGTATAAGGCGAGCACGAGAGCCTTATCCGTAGCTAACGTGTGCATGCGTCAAACGATCGATTATATTCAGAGTCTTTCGACTCGAATGAAGAATCTGACAAATGAAATACGACAGTGCAATAAATAATCTGATTCTTTCGACAAAGAATCCCTCGATAGTTTCGAGGGATAAAAGCGCGAAGAAGTGAAGAAGCGCCATTCCGCGTAAAACGCGTGAGCGATTTCGCGAAAACCTGCGGAGCTCGTGGAATGGGAAATGCAAAAACCCGTTCTTTACTACACGTGCGAATGACGCTCAGCTCCACGCTAAATTACTCGAAACGAGGTAGTGCATGAGAAAATCCAAGATCTGAAAATAGCTTTAGTGGAGCTGTTTCACATCGTCCCGAAATTGCTACTTATCGATCTTAAGAATATAACACTATCAAACGGGACGAATAATCTCTAGGTGGACACCGCGCCGATTTCGCCAAGAGACAAATCCATCGCTCTAACAAATTGCGCGCGCAAAATCAAACCGGCTTCACCTGCGGCTAGAGTATAAGAGCAGTTGCTGATGATCGGAGCACATAGCTCGATGACTAATCATTCGAGATCTTGCTGACTTGAATTTCTTCAAGTGTCAGCACGTATGATAGTCCGTGACTGTTTTAGAGCCGAGATGATTTACCTTGTTGCCTCGTTGCGATGTCACTAGCCATCTTGGCTCAAGTTGTATTTCCATTATGTCCCTGAGAGCTAGTTCCAAATCAAAGGCCTCTGCTACGCGTTACGGTAGTGGGAATGTAACTCGAGTACAAGAGGGTGCTGTTGATCCTACGATATTTGTTGATTCTACGACACCATTAGGTCTTACGATACCTGTTGATTCTACGACAAGCAAAGCGCTCCACACCAAGACCGACGCAAGATCGCTGAGGTCGACGATTCCCCGAATCCACTAGACTCAATCCGGTAGACATAGAGCAAAATAATTACCGGATCTTAGCTTGTTGTTTATCGTAGCAACTACTGGAGTGTATCTTACCGTTACTGAGCAAAATGATTAATGGGCGAGCGATAATCAGAAATGCGCTGAACAGATGATTATTGGGCGAGCGATAATCAGAACTGCTCACACTGGGGCCTCCATGAGCTCTAGTTCGAGCCAAGTTCAGGCTCTTATTGGTGCTTATAGGTCCGACCACGGTATTGAACCTGCGCCATGATGGTACGCGATGGCGCCGCCATCCGTAATTAACCCAATCTATACTTGTTGAACATCCGAACTCATAATGGGAC